GACTATAAAGAATTAATACCACGACAGGCAACAATATTTAATATCCAGTCCAGTGTGTGGATTACATATCTGTAATCCTAGCACTTGGGAGGTGGAGGCATGACGGGTAAAGACCATCTTTGGCTACAGAGAGACTTCCAGGACAAGACTGGGCTACATGAATCCCTGTCTCAAAAAAATAAACAAAAAACTCAAACAAATAAACATTTTAAGTTTTTATATATGACTTGCTACAAAGTTAAAATGAAAGATGCTTACAGGAACGTTCACAGAAGCTCCGTCCCTTTCCCAAGCCCGTCCCGTGCCCCTTCTCTGTGTAACTGAACACTTTCTCCTTTTCCCCACAGGCTGTCTGCAGTGAGCCCTAAACTAGCCTAGCCGCTGCCCTTCCAGCGGACACAAAGCATTCCCACACAGATAAGAGCAGGAAACTGGAGGTACCAGCGGCTCCATCCCCGAGCATTGTCCCTCTGCCTTCCGAGGCCCTCGGCACAGTGAGGTGACGGCTTATCTCATCTGGACTAAATACCAGAACCCAAGGCATCTATTTAAGGCTGCTGAAGCTTCCTCCTTGAATTTCAGATTTCAATCTCCGATGTCCGTTCTCATCCGTTTTCTACAGTGGTGGCTTTGAGAAGAGTAACTGAAGCAGGGTTAGCCCAGAAGAGGGAGGTGATAGGCACGTGAGCCCCCCTCAAGTAAGTGTATGAGAAACTTGGAAGTTTGTAGCCAGGAGCGGCAACAGCCCCCAAAGAGTCACACTGCCCCGGGATACGAACACAACTACGTTTACAAATGAATTCTAATTTCGTTGTTTTGAGATAGGGTCTCATGTAGGCCAGGTTGTCCTCAGAGTCACTCGGCAGCCCAGGATAAATCTGAACTGGGCTGAAGCAAGAAGAAGATTGTAAGTTGGAGGCCAGCCTGGGCTACATGAGACCCTATCTCAACTCCCCTTTCTGCCTAAAAGTGTTGATACATAAGACATTGAAAATATTACACTAAGTAAAATAAGACAGATACCAAAGAACAAATCTTGAGTGTGAACATGTGTAGGAGATCTCAGGAGAGGCTAATTCATAGACGGCACAGAATGGGCCTTACCAGGGCAGGCTAGCACTTCATGAGTGATGTTTGTTTGGTTTGAAGGAAAACTGGAAATGGTGGTGCTGGTTGGGCGGTGTGAATGCCAGTTAATGCCACTGAGTCATACACTTAAATATGGACAATGTGGTAAATTTTTATATGTATTTTATCACAAAAAAGTGAGAAGAGGGCTGGTGAGGTGGCTTGGCAGGTAAAGGCACCCACCCATCATCAACTCTGACAATCCTTGGTTTGAACCCTGGGACCAAAAGGTGGAAGGAGAGAATCGGTTCCTGAAAGTTACCCTCTGACCACCACACACACCATGGCATGGGCATGCCCACACACATATGCGTACACACAATAAGGAAGTGTATTTTTTGGAAACAGGGTCTCGTTATGTGTTTCTGACTGGTCTGGAACTCACTGTGTAGACCAAGTTGGCCTCCAGCTCACAGATCTGGCAGTTGAGTGCTGGATTAAAGATGTGCGCCACCAAGATTACATAAACATAACTTTAAAAAAGATAGCCCTGCATAGGTGGATATGCCTTTAATTTCAGCACTCAGGAGGCAGAGAATCTCTGAGTTCAAGGCTAACCTGGTCTACATAGTGAGTTCCAGGACAGCCAGGGCTCTGTAGAGAGATCCTGTCTCTAAAACAAAACAAAATAACAAAAAAGTGCAAATACAGGGGCTGGAGAGATGATTCAGCAGTAAACACACTGGTCGCTCTTCCAGAGGACCTGGGTTCAGTTTCCAGCACGCACATGGTGCTAGTTCTAGCTCCAGGAAATCCAGTGCCCTCTTCTGGACTCTCTGCTCTCTGGATACCAAGAATGAAAAATAATAAAATTTACCTTTTAGATTTAAGTAAAAAGACAACCCACAGAATTGGGAAATTTTTGGAACCCATACTTTGAATATATAAAGAATTCAACTAATAAAAGAAATACAAATGATCCAGTTAGGAAGCAGGTAAAGGGCCTGAAAAGAACCTGACATTTCTTCTTAAAAATTTATTTTTAACCACAGGTGTCTGTTGGATTCCCTGGATTTACAGGTGGCTGTGAGCAAACCCACACAGATGCTGGGAATTGAACCCAGGTCCTCTGGAAGAGCAGTAAGAGCTCTCAGCAGTCTCCAGCCCCAGAGGAGATATATGCTAATAACGGCACACAGAGACCCTCCAACATTGTCTTGAGGAGGATGCTAACTCTAACCACACTGAGATACTGTTTACATGCCTCTGGCTGGAATCATCATCATCATCATCATCATCATTAGTGAGAGGATGCAAGGACCTCAAGACCTTCCTACACTGCTGCAGCTGCTTGGGGAAATAGTCCAGCATGTCCCCAAATGGCTAAAGAGAAACCATCCAGTTACATGGTAGCATACACCTCAATGGATAAAGAGACGTTCAGTAGCTGCATGGCGGCTTATATCCATAGTCCTAGCACTGGGAAGCTGAGGCAGGAAGATCCTAAGTTTGAGGCCAGTGTGGTTTACAGGAGGTATGGTGGCACACATCCTTGATCCCCATACTGGGGAGGCAGAGGCATGGGTATCTCTGAGTTTAAGGCCAGCCAGGGCTACATAATGAGACCCTGTCTTCTCAAAAATAAAAGGATGCGGGGCAGTGGTGGCACACGCCTTCAATCCCAGCGCTCAAGAGGCAGAGCCAGGCGGATCTCTGTGAGTTCGAGGCCAGCCTGGTCCACAGAGTGAGTTCCAGGACAGGCACCAAAACTACACAGAGAAACCCTGTCTTGAAAAACATAAATAAATAAATGAATAAATAAATAAATGGGACAGACTACATAAGCCAGCAGTTCTCCCAGGGGTATATCCAAGAGAAATGAAACACAGACCTCGTTTGTATTACTAGTCACGGTAAGAGAACTGGAACTGGGACAAGGGCTCAGAGGTTAAGGGCACTGGCTGCTTTTCCAAAGGGCTTGGGTTAGAGTCCCAGCTCCCACATGGATGGACCACAATTGTCTGTAACTCTCTGTGGGCACCAGGCATACACATGGTGCAGACATTCATTCAGACAAAACACCCACACACATGAAATAAAAATAGTTAAAAAGAACATGAAGTTCTTGGAGAGATGGATGGCTCCATCATCCTTGTTGCTCCTGCAGAGGCTTCCAGCTTCCACTTGGTGGCTCAGAAGCAAGTAAATCCAGGTCCAGGAGATTCAACACCTTCTGAACTCCACGTGCACCAGGCATGCATGTAGTGCACAGACATACATGCGGGCAAAGCACTCAGATACATAAATAATCTAAAAAATTCTTAGAAATCAGTACCTCTAAGTCGCTTTCACAATGAAAACCTCACAAAAGCCCCTGGGTCCAAAACAGTCACTGCCAGCTTCACTAGGTAGGAGCGGAGCTGAGTCCACCTGGAAGAAGTCCAGGCAGGAACTGAGGGAAATTGGCAAAAAGCAAGCCATCAAAGACAAAAATAAACAACAAAAACAATAACTCGAAACTTCCTTGGCTTCCTTCTATCAGGCTAGAAGTTTTTAAAATATGCAGATGAAAATACTTTTAAAATCTTCAACCCAGAGCTGATGAGAGGTTCAGAGGGTAAAACCCTTGTTGTGCAAGACTGAAGACCTTCAAGTCTTTGAACCTTCTGGGTTCAAACTCCAAAACCCACATGGAGGTGGAAAGAGAAAACGGACTTCAGAAACTGTCCTCTGATCTCCACATGCACACTGTGGCACACATGCACCCTACACACACAATAAATACATTAAAAAATCTTTAATATACATGCCTGTGATCTCAACACCTGAGAGACAGAGGCAGAAGGATCAGGAGTTAAGGGAACCTAAGGCTACTTAGTGAGTTTGAGGCTAGCCTGGGCTACATGAGACCCTATCTCATACAACCAAAAAACACCCTAACAAAAGTAAAACCAAAGCTTAGGGCATACAATACAAGGTACATTATACCTATGTATAAAATTATGAAAGAACAAATGTATTTTTAAATTGAACAATGGGGCTGGAGAGATGGCTCAGCAGTTAAGAGCACTGGCTGCTCTTCTAGAGGACCTAGGTTCAATTCCCAGCACCCACATGGCAGCTTATAACAGTCTGCAGCTCCAGTTCCAGGGGATCTGACAAGTTCACAAAGACACACATGCAGGCAAAACACCAATAAACATTGAAGCCAGGCATGGTGTAGTGTACACCTTTGATCCCAGCACTTAGGAGGCAGATTCTGAGTTTGAGGTCAGCCTGGTCTACACAGTGAGTTCCAGAGCAGCCAGGGGCTATATTGTGAGTCTCTCTCTCTCTCTCTCTCTCTCTCTCTCTCTCTCTCTCTCTCTCTCTCTCTCTCTCTCTCTCTCTCTCTCTCACACACACACACACACACACACATACACGTTAACATAGGTTTTCATGGAAAAAAACAGAAAGCCAGTTTCCCTTAAATGAATGGGATATGTCATTTTATGTGACTCAACTGATTGCTGTAAGCCAGCCCTGAACAGAATTAACATAATACGCATCCAGGTCACACTCAGTGGACACTGCCCATCCATCCTACCTATATATAGTCTCACTGACTCTGTCTTCACCAGGATTCAGCAACAAAGTTCTCCTTCCTCTGAAAAAGAGCCGGCGTCAAGGCAAGGCTGGTTACCAGAAATGCCTCTTGGGTCCTCCAACGCTCATATGAAAGTGATCTTTTTAGCTAGAAGCTGGTGGCGCACGCCTCTAATCCCAGCACTCGGGAGGCAGAGGCAGGCGGATCTGGGTGAGTTCGAGGCCAGCCTGGGCTACAGAATGAGTTCATAAAGAAACCCTGTTTTGAAAACAAACAAAAAAAAGTGATGTTTTAGCAGAACACATACAATTTATGCCATCAACAGGAATTTATTCAGTCTTCTGTCACATAAAACCACACACTCTAAAGTGTTCACAACTGCAGTTCCACTCAAGACTTATGCTAATCAGTTTGTCCATCAAAAACACTCATGGGAAGAGAAGAAAAAGGGAGGTCTCCAAACAAACATTTCACTTGGCTTGTGGCAACAACCAGTGTGTGTCCTTTACACCCAGAAATGCTACACACAACATGCTCATCCCACACACACTCCCCCTCACACAACGTGCACTGAGTGCCATGGAGCAATTGGTCACATGAAGCTCTCTGCCCAGGCATGCTAAAGCCCCCAGGGTTGGCTCTGCCAGACAGGTTCAAGGTGCTGGTGTAGAGGGCCCGAGCTAACGACAGGTACACCTTGTAGCTATCATATCTTCGTACTCTTTGTAAGCAATGGAGCCGTCGGGTTCAATGGTCAACACGCTCAAGGGGCTGTATTTGCCAGGCACACATGAAGGCCTTGGCACTGAGGGGTCCAGCTTCTCATAGATGATATTCTGGACCAGGGTGTGTACAGGAGAGCCGTACCGATGCCTGACCGCCCTGGGACAGTCCCCTTTACAGTACCTAGGGTTGTATCTGTGTGGAGCCACGATCCAGTTGTCCCATTTGAGCTGACTGAAACTCAGTCTGAAGTCGTGGAGTTCACACTCGTTTTCGGGGAAAAGAAACTGTTTGAAGTATTCGCTGAGATTGAAGGATGCCGTAAGATGTGGCTTCTTGGTTTCTAAGCTGACAGCTTTCTGGCCTCGACGGTGCCGGGCAGATCTTTCGACCTCGGCAGCCTCTTCTTTCCCCGGATAGGCAGCCACGTTGCCCTGGCCAGGATGCTGTGAAGGCCTCCAGGTGGAGTGGAGGGAATACCATGAGTGGTAGGCCTGAGCGCTGGTGTCGTTGAGGTATAAGATGAGCGAGGGAGGCACTGACAGAGGCATGTTAAACACACTGTCCCCCGGGGCCTGGCCTTTTGTGCATGTAAAATTGACAGACATGTGAATGCTTCTCTCGCTGGAGGCCACCAGAGGCTGAAGGAGCGAAGTCACATCCATCTCAATCCATCTGTGTTTCTTCAAGGTAAAGGAATATGGCGCTCTTGGGGGAGCCTTGCCGGAAGACGTGGGCTCCTTTACCACAAGGTCCCACACACAGGTCACGGTGGAGGAGGAAGCAGCCGAGTTGTTCAGAGTGTACAGCAAGACTGACTTGAGTAAGTGTTCCATGGCAGTCACCCGATCCAGGTTAAACAGCAGGTCCACCATCGGCAGGGGTCCTGAGAAGAGAAGCCACCAGTGAGCAGTGCTTGCCAACACCCTGCAGGGAGCAGGAAGTGAGATGGAGGAATCAGGACGTGCCATAAGCAGTTCTCTTCCCTCTCCTCCCCTGCTTCCTTAAACCTCAAAAACAAAGGGAAGAAGAGGCTAATGAGGAAAATACAGCGGGTCTGGGGATGCAGCTCAGCGGCAGAGCACTTGCCCGGCATGTGCGAGGGCCTGTGGTCACACCTTGAGTTGGGTGGGGAGGTGTGTTTGTGATGCCATCACTTTGGAGGATTGCCATCAGTCTGGGATATGTAGTGAGACTCACACACACACACACACACACACACACACACACACACACACACACAGGGGCGGGGTGTGTGTGTGTGTGTGTGTGTGTGTGTGTGTGTGTGTGTGTGTGTGGAAACGACGACACCAGCCTTATAGCCCAAGCCTGTAATCCCAGTGCTTGGGAGGTAAAGACCATCTTCGATTACATAGCAAGTCTGAGGTCAACCTGGGTTGGAAACACGAGACTGTCTTTCAAAAGTCACCCACCCCCCACCCGCCTGGAGCCTTGGAAAGCAGAGGTAAGAGGACCAGGAGTTCAATAGCCCCTTTGGCTACAAGCTGAGTTTGAGGCCAGCCTGGGCTCTGTGAGAGTGAGAGGCAGTCAGTGGGCAGAGCTCAGTGAGTAAGGAGGATGGCTGCCAAGTTTGAGGGCTGGAGTTTGAACCCTAGGATCTACATGATGGAGAGCTCCAACTTCTGAAAGCTTTTCTGTGACCTCCATACATGACCCCCACCCACCCCCAATTCACACATGCAAATACATTTTATCGCCATAAAAGTGAGAACAGCTTTGCGGGAGAAGTGAAGGGAGAGCGCATCATTACACCCCCAGTTTCAGACCCCAACCAAGAGTGTCTCCCTTTGGCGCCATCCCTACAGACACAGCCGGGAGACCATCGGAAGCGACATTCCCTAGGCCTGGCTGGAGCACGTCAACTGCGAACATTTGACTGCCACATTAATTTCACCACGTGGGATTGGAAACAAATGGAGGCGGTAGGATTGCTGCTGGAACACGGGCTTGGGGGGGGGGGGGGGAGTGGCTTTCAACAGCCACAACTGCCCTGCACAGTTATGATGGTTTCCTCTCTGCCGGAACTGGGTTGGCGAAGGTGGGGGGCGGGTAGTCAATGGGCACACACTCTGTGGCACACACATGGAGGTGAAAGATGACATATGGGTCCTGGGAACCGAACTAAGGTCGTCGGGCTTGGTGGAAGCCTTCACCCACTGAGCCATCTCCAAGGCCCTGGGGTTCTTATTTGTTTTGGTTTTTAAAGCACCCACTTCTTCCTTACCAGACTGTTCTCATTGTTGACGAATACTTTGAGGTTTGGTTTTTCCGTTTGTTTTTGTTGTTGAGACAGGGTCTCACCCGGTAGCCCTGGCTGGCCTGGAACTCACTATGTAGACCAGCTGGCCCTGCCTTGAACTCAGAGACCAGCCTGGCCCTGCCTCCTGAGGGCTGGAATTAAAGTCATGGGACACCATGCCTCACTTGACTTTTGTTGATACTGGAGGCCAAACTCCGGGTGTCTGGCATACCGAACATAAACTGTACCGTATCTCAGCCATACAGATTTTTTTTTTTTAAGGATGTCCTATGCCAGATGGAGACTGAAATTCTCCTCTCACAGGAAAACAAACAAGAGGGAAATGTCCCATTTATCACAGCCGTCTGTCACTGGCTCAAAGGAAGGTTTTAGGCACAGTGCTAGGCCAACAGCTTGGTAGAATAGAAAGAGATGGCTAGCTACTTTCCCTGGCCTTTCAAGACATTACTCTCTTTTAGCCTTTACATATTGAGCTAGTGTGCGGGCTAGTGTGCTGTTACAGGCCTGTAATCCCAGCACTAAGGTGACTGAGGCAGGAGGGTCACTGCAAGTTTGAGGCCAGTTAGAGAGAAAGAGAGAGAGTTCAAAAATCTATCATACTAGTTTTTTTTCCCCCCAATACAGGGTTTCTCTGTGTAGCCTTGGCTGTCCTGGAACTCGCTCTGTAGAGCAGGCTAGCCTCTTAACTTACAGAGTCTTCCTGCCTCTGCCTCCTGAGTGCTGAGATAAAAGGTGTGCCACCACCGCCCAATCACACTATTTTCTTAACTAATGATGGCTTAGGCCAACAACAACAACAACACACACACACACACACACACACACACACACACACACACACACACACACACACACACTAATCAATGCTCCTGGCAGGGATGTAGTAGCAGAGGGCTTAGCTAGCATATGTGAGTCCCCAAACCCTATTTGATCCTTAGCACTACCACACCAAATAAGAATTCAAGAACTTAGAAAAAAAATTGAAGCTAGGCGGTGGTGGCACACGCCTTTAGTCCCAGCACTAGGGAGGCAGAGGCAGGAAGATCACTGAGTTTGAGGCCAGCCTGGTCTACAGATCGAGTTCCAGAATAGCCAAGGCTACATAGAGAAACCCTGTATTGAAAAAACTGAAAAAAAGAAGAAATTAGTATAATAGATTGTTTTTTTGAACTTTCTTTCTTTCCTTCTGTCTCTCTCTCTCTCTTCCTTTTTCTCTTGCTCCCTCCTCTCTCTCTCTCCTTCCCCCCTCTCTCTCTCCTTCCCCCTCTCTCTTAAGACAGCTAGGGCTGTTACATAGAAAAACCTTGTCTCAAAAAAAATTAAGTGCTAAATTTGTTTCAGTTGCATACTGAGAATTATGCAAAATAAAATTCTAATGATGATGTAAACCTGCGTGATCCTAGTACTCAAGGGGCTGAGGCAGGAGGATGCAGAGTTTGAGTATAGACTGGGTGACAGGATAGGATCTTGCCTCAAAACAAACAAACCCAAATCAAAGCCTGGTTCCTTTTAGTAACAGAAACATTGAAGCTCCCCTCTCCTCTCTCCACCCAGTTGACCAATCTTCTCTCACCCACCTGTCACCTGGTTGCCAGGAGCCTGCTTGTGGTTGGTACAGGGACTGAAGAGCCGAACAGTGTTGTAGAGGTGACTTCTGCTGGGTTTAGGAACCCCTTCTTTGGTAGCATACGTCTTATAGAGCTTTTTCATGTAGTAGAGTGCTCTGGAGTCGGGCTGCAGCTTAGGGGCCTCACCTCGCCTATCAGACAGGACCTTAAAGAGGGGAGGCAAGAGGTCTGACCTGTCGGTCCCATCTCCAGGTAACAGCAAGGACCAAGGATCTGCCTCAGACTCCAAAGCTGCACTGGCTCCAGTCTGGGCTTCTCCCCTAGAAGCCTGAGAGCTGAGGCTAGGAAGAAAACACAGCCAGGCAAAACAGCAAAATCCAAACAGGAATTTGCTGGGAAGTGCCATGGCTTGGGAGAACTAAGAGGGAACGCATCTCCCCATGCCAGTCTTTCTAAAGACTGGGAAGGCCCCGGTGTGGTCCTTAAATAAAATCTAGGCGTGGAGAACCAGCCTCACGTCTGTAATCAGACCTCAAGGATGCCTAGCTGTACGTCATTTTATCAGCTCTACAGCAGCCATCTGTTAGCAGGTTTTTATACAATGTGTTCTCATTAGACACAGATTTATCTACTTATTTAGCCTTGCCCCCGTTTCCCCTGACTTTTACTTCAAACCCACCAAGTATCATTACCCTCATGGACTACTTGAAACCCCAAGAGAAACCGGAAGAATTATAAAACAGAATCTCTTAGGGCTGGAGATGTAACTGCAGAAATATCGGGTGTGTTTTTTCTCTTGATTTACCATCTCCCAGCCCCCACTTCCTTAGTACTGACTGATTGCTTACTGCATAGTGAGGTGGAGACACAGAAAGGAACCCTGGGTACAGAAATTCCAGAGGGATGTCAGGCTGTTGAGCCTGTCCAGGTGGCTTAGTGGGGGATGGAAAGTTGGCACAAGACAACTGCTACTTGCAGTGTGCTTTAAAAGAGGACGGGGGGGGGGGGGGGGGGGGAGAGAGGCCCGCGGGGGAGTATGGTGGTGCACATCTTTAATCCCAGTGCTCTGGAGGTACAGGGAGGTGGATCTCTGTGAGTTCAAGGCTAGCCTGGTCTACAGAGAGAGAGTTCTAAGATAGCCAGTACTACATAATATGGAGACCCTGTCTCAAAATAAAAAGACATCACGGAGCTGGAAAGATGTCTCAGTGGTTAATGAGCACTGACTGTTCTGCCAGAGGACCCAGGTTCAAATCCCAGTACCCACACAGCAGCTCACAACTGTCTGTAACTCCGAGATCTGATACCTTCACACAGATATACATGCAGGCAAAACAACAACACATAAAATAATAAAAATAAATAAACTATTTAAAAAAGAGACATCACCTTTAATCTTGACTGATTTAAAAATACAACATCCTGGGACTGGAGAGATGGCTCAGCAGTTAAGGGCAGTGGTTGTTCTTCCCAGAACAAACTATGTGGTTCATGGCCATCTGTGACTCCACTTCCAGGGCATTGAACACCTTTCTCTGGCATCCTTAGGAATATAAACACCCATTATAAAATGAAAATAAACAAATTAAAAAAAACACCACAATAACTATCTGGACAGCAAGATAGCTCTGAGTGTAAAAGCACCTGCCATCAAGACTAATGACCAAAATTTAGTCCTAAAGACCTGAATTCAGTCCCTGAGAGCCACACGGTAGAAAGGGAGAAAAAATTCTTACAGGGTGTCCTCTGACCCACACCCACATGCGTGCGCCCCGCCCCTTCCATACAAAATACGTATTTTATTTTATTTTTTAAAGGAAGCTTTTATTTGCTCAAAGGAATCAGTGCCTTTTGATGTAGAACAAAACCCCCAAATACCCCAACTACTGTCAAATCTTCAAAACCAGCATATCAAACTCGATTTTCATTAGAACGATATTTTTCCACACTAGTAATTCAAAACCCAAGATCCAGATTTTATATATGTACACACACACACACACACAAATGCAAACAATTATTGTGCCTCATCTTCTGAACCAGAACGCCACATCAGTCCCTCCTCATAAAGGCAGTGACAATCTGAGGACATTTTATGTCACATTGCCTCCTTTGCCAGCACCAATGTGCCTCATCGGAGTCCTTCCATTTCCTGAGAAACATTAATTCTCCACTGCTGGCTGTGGCACTGATTATTCCTTCAGGATCAGGACCCTTGGCAAAGCCCCTGGGTCTGTCAGCAGCAACTCTTTCTTCCTCGATTGCTATCATCCGATTCACTGTCAGATAAAGATTTCCTTTTTGTACCATCTTTTGCTTTACCAGCTTTTGGAGAACTAAGAAATGCTTCAATTAATTCTGGACAATCTAAATTTTCTTCTGGCTCCCAAGTGTTCTCAGCATCTGTGAACCTCTTCCACTTGAGGAAATACTCAGCCTTCCCATTCACCACATGTCGGTCCAGCATTTTTTCTACAGTACTTTTCCTACCACAAATTCTTCAGGCTCTGCCTCTTCAACTGTTTTTGCTTTTTCTTTTCTTTTTTCTTTTTTTTTTTTTTTTTTTTTTTTTTTTTGGTTTTTCGAGACAGGGTTTCTCTGTGTAGCTTTGCACCTTTCCTGGAACTCACTTGGTAGCCCAGGTTGGCCTCGAACTCACAGAGATCCTCCTGGCTCTGCCTCCGGAGTGCTGGGATTAAAGGCCTGCGCCACCACCGCCCAGTCCTGTTTTGCCCTTTCTATACTGTTCCTTTCCCATTTTTTGCAATGTAGTTTTACTGGAGGCCTTTTAATCACAGACTTGAAGAGTTCCCCACTCAGATGCGCCGGGCCACGGATCCTGCAGAATCTCCCGGCTGCATGCCTCAGCTCAGCCACATCCGAGGTGCAAAATATTAATTTTAAAATGTAACAAAAAGTACAATATCCTGATGTCCTTGTTTTGGCCTACAATTCATGTGATCATGCTCTGGTTGAAAGGTTTTGAGATATCTGCAAGTGCTATTAAATGAAAGTCTTATTTATTCTACAGATGGTAGAATTCATCACAGTATTTTAGTCCTTGACTAAATAAAGTATTTGTGTTTCTGCCTTGGAGCTGAGACCAGGATAGATAATGTTTTAGGAAAACCAGGGGCAGGGGTACCATAAAAGGAGGGGCTCCCTAGTGCCCCTCAGAAGGTGACTTTCTTCTGGGAGAAAGTCAGCCCACAATCATAACACAAGATACAAAATCAGTTTGTGCAATGCCAGATTAATAAAGCCGAACTCTTGCAAAACTGGAGCTCACTGTCTGCCAAGCCGCCCCAGTTTGATTGTCAGATTATATACGGCTAGTCATCCCATTTACAGGCACTGGGAGGAACAGAAAGGTCCTTTAGTCCCACAGGACAGTATCAGTTAGGAGAATGCACTTTAGGGGAAACACAACAGCTCCCTAGAGAGTGGAAAGAGCCTGGGCTCGATGACACACCCTGCCAGAACAGAACACTCCCCTCCATGGCTCCCACCACCACGACCAGCGTCTGACAACTGCCAGACGGAGAGATGATGACTTGTCACTGAACTGGGAGAAACGTTAGTGTCACATCCTCGACAAGTCTACAGGGTACCAATGGCTTGCGAGGCAGCGTTTACGGAAGCCCTAGATCCACGTCCCTAAATATGTACTGCAGTCAGTGAGGGTCTGACAACAGCTTTTGGATCCCCTTTTGGTTACGAGGATCCCATACACCTGGCACTCCTCCGCTAAGGGACAGCCAGGAGGACAAAACCCCTTTTTTTTCATCTTTGGGCAGCTTCCAGCCCTGGTATCCAGAGAAAGGCAGGGCACTGAGCAGAAAGCACCAGTCTTGGAATACCCACTTGCTCCTAAGCCCCGCCCATTGCCATAAACCACGCCCTATGCACCTATAGGCCCCGCCCCCTTCCCCCCTAGGCCTGAGCCTCGCCCACATATCCACCTAAGCCCCACCCATTGCTCCGCAAAAACCCAGACCACGCACCCACCAAGACCCATTCCTTTCCAAGCCCCGCCCACACGCCTTCTACGCCCCGGTATGGCACACCCGCCCCGTTAAGCCCCACCCAGATGCCTCTTTCTGCACCTGTAAGCCCCGCCCCTGTCCTCTAGGCCCCCCGGGCCCCTCCCACCCGCCCGGAAGGCCACGCCTACACAGGCCATTTTCTCTTTAGGACGGGTCAACGGCGTCTCCCCCTGGAAACAGAAAGAAAATGGTAGTCCCCGGAAATGACTTCACGATCTCCAGGACCAGCTTCCGCTTCTTCCGGAAGTGACGTTGGAAGCCGGGCGGCTCAGCGCGGTGTAGGTAGAGGTGACCTGGTACCGAGGGGCCGGTACGGGGCAGTGGGAGTTCCTGGTGGGCCTAAACCGCGCGTGTGTCCTCCCTCCTTAGAGCCGCCGCCACCATGGGCCGCGAGTTTGGGAAGCTGGTGCGGATGCGGCACGTGATCTCCTACAGCTTGTCGCCCTTCGAGCAGCGCGCCTTCCCAAACTACTTCAGCAAAGGCATCCCCAACGTGCTGCGCCGCACTCGCGAGCGCATCCTGCGTGTGGCTCCGCGTGAGTGCGGGGCGGGCAGGGGAGGGACGTGCAGCTTTCCTTCCAACATCCTCCACGGACGTGGAGTTCTTCCCATATCGACATGACTGGCCTAAGGTCACTTGGATGACTCCAGCGTCTCCCTCTGAGGTCATCGCTGTCCACTATCGGTGATGAAGTGCTGATGCAATGTCTTGTGTTAGATATGCACCGATTGTGCTGACGGTTTCATGGCATTGCGAATATGCCAAGAACCCGTGGAAGGTACACTTGAATTTGGTGAGGTCGAGGCCCGATCTTGCCGTGCAACCCAGGCTGGCCTCACACTTGGGATTTTACTGCCTTATCCTGGGGACTGCTGGCTGGGATTATAGGCATGCGCCAGCAGAGCAACTTGAAATGTACTTTTAAAATGGCGAAGTTTATGTTCGGTGAATTTCATCTTCGGTTATCTCATGAAATTTTTCATTTAGTGTTAAGTAGGAGAGAGACTAGGAAAGTCAGGGCCAAATCTTCTGGGTTGACGTCTTTATTTTGTTTGCTTATAAAATGGATGTGTAATTGTAACCCTTTTTAACCACTTATTAAAAGTAGTTTCTGGTCGGGATGGTGCCTGCATTTAATCCCAGCGTTCCCGAGGCAGAAGACGGTGGGTCTACATAGTTTGAGGCCAGCCAGGTCTACATAGAGAGTTCAGGCTACCAAGGGCCATATAGTAAGAGCTTGTCTCAAAACAAAACAAAAACATAGGGCTGGAGACGGCTCAGCAGTTTAAAGCACTTGCTGCTCTTTCAGAGGATCTGGTTCCGTTCCCAGCACCCATATGGTGATTCCTATGGGATCAGACACTCTATTACCTCAGTCGTGGGGCATGCGTGTGGTACACAAAGCATGCATACAGGTAAAACACTCATAAAACATGAAAAGCAAGGGCCGCACAGTCACGCCTTTAATCCTAGCACTCAGGAGGCAGAGGCAGGAAGGTCTCTGTGAATTGGAGGCCAGCCTGGTGTACATAGTTAGTTTCAGGACAGGCAGCTAAATAGTGAGACCTTGTCTCAAAAAACTAAAGACACCTGTAATCCCAGCATTTGGGAGGCAGAGACAGGCAGGATCCCTGAGTTCAAGGACAACCAAGACTACACAGAGAAACCCTGTCTCCAAAACCAAACAAAAAAGTTAAAAGCTAGGGACAATAGAAGGGCAGGCAGAATAGTTGAAAGTCAGAAATGGTGCATGACAGAGACAGATGGACCTCTCGCTTGAGGCCAGTCTGGTTTACATAGACCATATCTCCCTCCCTCCCTCCCCCCCAAAAAAAGAGCTGAGGGATTATGTGTTCCACGTGCTCACAGCCTGTCTTGATTATTACAGCATTTGTAGCATTTTATCTGATCTACACATGGGGGAACCAGGAGTTTGAACAGTCCAAAAGGAAGAATCCAGCCATGTACGAAAATGACAAGTGAGCCACAACGCATCTGGATGCCAGTTCCCTGCCTTTTTGAAAGACCCTTCTCTGGGAGAGGAATCTACATTGTAGTGTCTTGAAGACACAATAAACTACTTCTGGGCTTTCCTGTTGTGACTTGGTTTGCTTATTTGAGATAAGGTCTCACTATGTGTACCTGGATGGCCTATGAAATCCGACCACCTCTGCCTCCTAAGTCATGGTGTTCAACATCATGCCTGGCCCCACTTTGTTTCGTTTTGTTTTACAAGCAAATATTCAAGTCATGATGATCCCTTTCCCAGCACAAGTCCTGAATGGGGTCTGGATTGCCAGCTCTAAACCCTCTGCTCTCATTATAACTATAAAGTCTAGTAATGACACTGTGGTTAGGAGTCAGGTGTTCTTGCTAGACACATTAAGGAACTTTTAATTCACAGCAGCCTTTGAAGTAAGCACTGGACTCTCCTTGCTGATAAGGAATCACAGTTGAAGTACTTTGCCCAGAATCACATGACAGTGGGTTGGTAGAGCCAGGTACCGGTGTGTGCTCTGCTGCTGCTCTCCCCAAGGAAGGCCTTCCTTAGCCTGAGGGCTTTCAGCTGTGGAAGGACATGAGCCAATCCCTTGGCTGCTACAGCAGGTGTCAGTCAGGGGACCATGCTTGGCTTTGTGTCATGGAACCAGTCCAGCGGTGGCTTTTAGTTTGTGGACCACAAAGTCTGAAAAGACTCTATAGAGTCTTTGGATGCCCCCATTTTCTCTTCACCTGGAGAAGATAGGGTGGGCATGCTTGGCAGTCCTGAGCTTCTGGCCCTGTCAATCACCTAAGGACCTACTGCAGACTAACAACTCAGTGCGATGTCTGACTGGTAGCTAGTGCCAGAAGTCCTCAGAGCAAATGACTTCCAGCAACAGGGAATCTAATGGCATGGACTCTGAGGCAGGATATGAGAAATGTCGTGTCTGATTGATACCCGTGCCCTGAAACCAGTGGTTCTCAACCTTCCTAATGCTGTGACCCTTTAATACAGCTCTTCATGTGACCCCAACCATGACATTGTGTTCATTGCTACCATGTAACTATTTTTGCTGCTGTTTCATAGCGTAAATATCTGTTTTCCAGTGCTCTCAAGTGACCTCTGTGAAAGGGTTGTTCAGTCCCTTCCCAAAAGAGGTCGAGACTCACAGGTTGAGAATCACTGCCTCAAATGGTCACTTCTGGAGCCTTAAATGTCTTATCTATAAAACATGTCAACACAAAGTGTTTGAGTTAGCTGTAGTGGAGATGCTGAAATGAGTGAGCCCAGGGAAGTTCCCGGAGTTGTTCCCATATCCAGTCCAGTTGCCCTGTTTGGCTCTGTCCAGATTTACTCCTGGGCCTTAAAACCCATGGGTCATAGACTCCTTTAAGAATCTGAAATAAGGCTGAGTGGTGGTGGCACACTCCTTTAATCCCAGCACCCAGGAGGCAGAGGCAGGCGGATCTCTGCAAGTTTGAGGTCAGCCTGGTCTACATAGTGAGTTCCAGGACAGCGAAGACTACACAGAGAAACCACAAAGAATTTGAAATAAGGGGCTGGAGAGATGGCTCAGTGGTTAAGAGCACTGGCTGGTCTTCCAGAAGACCCAGGTTCAAGTCCCAGCACCCACATGGCAGCTCACAACCATCTGTAATTCCAGTTCCAGGGCACCTAGCACCCTCACACAAACATAAATGCAGGCAAAACACCAATGCACATAAAATAAATCTTAAAAACAAAAAAAAAAAACAGGGTGCTGGTTGCACACAATTTTTCCCCTCTTGGTTTTTTCGAGACAGGGTTTCTCTGTGTAGTTTTGGTTCCTGTCCTGGGTCTCGCTCTGTAGACCAGGCTAGCCTCTCAAACTCACAGAGGTCCACCTGGCTCTGCCTCCCGAGTGCTGGGATTAAAGGCGTGTGCCACCACCGCCCGACTTGGTTGTGCACACTTTTAATTCCAGCACTTGGGAGGCAGAAGCAGGCAATTTCTGAGTTTGAGGCCAGCCTGGCCTACAGGAGTTCGAGAACAGCCAGGGCTACTCAGAAGAAACAAAAACAAACAAAAAACAAAACAAGACAGGAAAGCTGCAGGCCCCGAGGAGGGAGGTGGAGGTACAGCAGCATAGCTGCACCCATCTTGACTTTGGACACACCAGCTCAGAAGACTAGCTTCAGTTTTCTTAGCCCACAGCAGGAGATGAACCTCTTGGTCTGACCTTTTAAAAATATATATATTATTGTATGTGTGTGTACCTGTGCCACGGTGTGCATCTAGAGGTCCGAGGACAACTTTGTGAGGTCAGTCCTCTGCTCTCTGTTGCACCTTTATCTGAGTTCAGCGGGGATCAAGCGTCGCTCCTGGATGGCAGGAACCTTTACTGCAGAGCTGGCCCTCCCACCCTGTGAGTGCTGAGGGGACCCTGCTGTAAGTGCTTTGACGGTCAGACGCTCTGCTGATGGCTGAAATGGTTAAAGGCTGCCTTCAGCCTGTCCCTCACAGTTTCCCCTTTGAGCTTGAGGGCAGAGGGCCCAGCTGTGTGAGGGGTGCCCAAACAGTGACTGACTCTACATGATGCAGGACCTGGACTTGTTCTATTTGTAGAGATTCATAGAGGACAACATGAATCACCCCACTCCCAAACCCGCCCCGTTCACACAGTGCGTGCGTGCGTGCATGTGCAGGCAGGATGTTGACATCAGATGTCTTCTATCCCTCTCCACCATTTTTTGAGACAAGGCATTGAACCTCATAGATTCAAGCTAGCTGAGCTGACCATCAAGCCTCAGGGATCCCCTCTCCACCTCCCAGTGCTAGGATCACAGAGCTGCTGCCACGCCTGGCTGGTTATGTGGGTGCTGGTGATCTGAACTTAGGTCTTCCTGTGTGTGTGGCAAGTACTTTACCAGCTGAGCCATCTCCGTTGCTCTTGAGTCAAGCCTTTGAAGGACAGAGATAGCGCTCTGGGCCCGTGTCTTAGATACCCACAGCCTGACCCTGCTCTTCTGTCTGCTGTGATGTAACCATTTGCTCCACTTGACTCCTTTTGGAAAAGCCCATGCTCCTGCCCCCCGCCCCTCATGGGCTGCAGTCTGGGAAAGGGAGCTCTCTTCATTCTGCTGGTATTGTAGTCAGGACATAGGCCTCTCTAGTACAGGCCCAGACACCTGCCAGTTCCAGCCAAAAAAACAAAAGCACTTTGACCCTTTGTTGAAATTTTACCTGGAAACATTTTTCCATTTCCAAGTCTTTCATCTTTTATTAGGCACCCCCTGCTCAGGGACAACACAAAAGTGTCCCATTACCGCCAAATCTTAATGATCCCGTCTCCACCCTGCACGCATCCAGACACCCGTGTGTCTCTACCCTTTCTCCTGTTTCATTCTGGCACTTTCCCCTCAGTATCCCTGGGGTTGTACCTGGAGTGAGCAGCCTCTCGCTAGCAAACCTGTTTGTCTTTCTCTTCTTGTAAATTAGTCATTTGAATCCCCAGATGTGCCCATGAGGCCCGAGGCCACCTCTCATCTCACTGTCGGAATAGAAGACTAACCCTGAAGAGGGCAGGGCTGCCTGTGCTCAGACTTCGCAGTCTGCAGCTGCTGCCTCCTGGTCAAGAGGTCTTGCCTTACAGCTGAAATCCGGGCAGCTGAGGCCTGTGAACTGGAGGAAGGAACTTGTAGTTCTTCAGTCATTTAACAGCATACTTGCCAGGAGAGAACAGATGGGTTGTTTGAATTTCAGGCACAGTGTAGTTTTTCACAGGAAAGGTATACCATGGCTGTGGATAAGTGTTGTCAATTCTGCTGAGGGCTTAGATGCTGCTTCACCTCCCAAAGTCTGAGGGAGGTGTTTTTCTCTTTAGTACTAGGGATAAGATCCAGAGCCTTGCACATACTAGACAAATACCTGACCACTGGGCTACTTTTCCTTTAAATACAACTTCCAGCTCCCACATTTCCTTTAAATACAACTACAGGTTTTGTTTACATGTTTAGTAACTTGCCCCTAACAAGTCATTCCTTGGGAAAGAGAGCTGGCCTGCAGGTGGCTTGAATCTGGGGGCCTTGAACAGTGTTGTACTCATGAGAATTAACGATCTTTTCCCCGTGCTCCTTCCCTTGACTGGGCTGTGATGAGCTTTAGAAACGACACAAAAGGCTACCTTGATTTTGCTCAGGGAAAATGAAAGCAGAGATGGGAGCTGGGAGAAAAACCATCTTTTGGATGTTACATGTCACTGAGTGCTGGGGAAGGAGAGACTGGCACTGAGTCCCAGACCCAACCGGTGCTAGGACATCACGTTGTTCAGTCTTGCTTAACTAATCACATTGGTGTTCTTACTCAATGTTCACTGGGTCACTGCAAAGCTTCTCCCCAACTCTGCACAAGCTCCCATTTAGGCTCCTACTTGAGGTCATTCAGTATATAACCTCATGGGGCAGGAGGGGAGCTGCTGAACTGGTCCTGAACTGGTAGGATTGTCTACTCAGCAACTCTTGTACTGTGGAGCTCCCCACCAGACTTCCATTTTCTACAGAGAACTGGAACCAAGGCAGATAGATCTGCAGTTAAATCCCACCCCTTCCCAGCTCTGAAGTCCAGCACACTTCTCCCTTGGCAAGTAGCTACACTTGCTTTGCCTTGGGATTGGTGACCATGAGGCTACCTTTGGCACGGCAGCAGTCCCTCCATTTTCGCTTGGGACAGAGAAACAAAAACAGGCTCCTGTCCAAATGTCCAATCATGAAGATGAGAAGAGCCTTGGGAAGGGTTATCCGTGAAATATCAGACCAGGGAGAGAGAATCTATTTGTAATTTGTGTGTGTGTGTGTGTGTGTGTGTGTGTGTGTGTGTGTGTGTGTGTGTGTGTGTGTGTGTGGTGTCTTATGGTCATAGGGAGATCTAAGCTCTTATACATGTCCTGACTTTGAATTCAGCTTTCTCCCTCAAACTTATTAAAACACCCATGGCTGGGTGTAGTGGTCCACATCCAAGATCAAGGTGGGACTGTGAAATTAGGCCAGCCTAGGCTATGTTGTGGGATGTTCTCAAAATCAAAGGTCTTGTCACGTAGTATCCATAACTACTCACATTCAACAGTTGAGTGTTAGTTAATCTAGGAACCCACAGAGATTACCACTAAAGCCAATGGATGTTTGGGCTTCAGACTTAGCCTAACACCTGCTGCCGAGGCTGGTGGAAGGAAGTGCTCTGCTGAAACCCCAGTTAACTACTAAGGAGAAAGCCCATGATTCATTTGGTATTGTCAGTACATAAACTGTAATGACAGAGATTTAAGAGTTTCTGCTACCTCCTCACTCATGTGTTCTTAAAAAACAAAAATCTATTCCTTCAATTCATCTGTGGTTCAAGCGGCAGTACATTGCCTGTATCCTGGAGGAAGGGTAGAGTTTGAGTTCTTCACAGCCAGGTCTTCACTAAGATGGTGGTGCAGATTGGTAGGATGACAGCCCCTCTTTATGAACGGGGGGAATTGGACACTGTAGACTGACTGTCTGCTTAAGGACCCCACAGAAGGAACAGAGGGCCACATCCAGTGGCCTGTACACAGCAGGTCAGTGGGTTTTTTTGCCTAGAAAAGCTCAGGGGTCAACATTACTTCTGAAGACTTTATAAGAATCCTGTTTTGATTACAACCATCTCACAGTGATATTTTAGGACTTTCTCTTGGTTCTGGAATTGAACCCAGGACATCATACTTGCTCTCACTGTTAAACTCCCAGCCTGCCATTTTACAAGTATGGCCAAGTTCCTGGCTTTCAGAGGGAAGTCGGACAATGCTGATTTCTGATAAGATGGGTGTAAGGGTCCAGACCAGCAACATCATCAAAGTCCAGATGAGGGATCAGTAAGTGCAATGTGCCTGAAGTGTAGCCCTGGATTACATTCTTTGGGTACACATTAACCTATTAAATCGATCCTGATTACAAACAAACTTTGCCCCTACCTCACCTGGCAACCCTGAGAAAGGCAGATAGATGTCAGTCTATAAAAGGAAACGGGAACTGCCCCCTGGCTTTCAGGCTCCAACATCTTCCTTTTGCCAAGATGCTACTGCTCAAACTCTTCGTGGTGCTCATGACTTGCCTGCTGCTGCTGGACCAGGTAAGCAAGGAAAGACATGTGTGTGTTGGACATAGTAGCAGCAGTGGAATTCAAAGTCCGAGAGTCTCAGCCCTGAGAAATGCTCTTAAACCTCCTGCAACCCGGGTATGCAGCAGAGGGTGGGTGCTTCCCCACCTGAAGTGGATATGCCTTTGCTCTCCAGGTCAATGGCTCCCCAGTACCAGAACTGAGTTCAGCAAAAAGATCCCGGAGAATGACCCCATTTTGGAGAGGGGTTTCCCTCAGGCCCATTGGCGCTTCATGTCGGGATGATTCGGAGTGTATCACAAGACTATGCAGGTATTTGACAAACCTGGGTGCAGGGTGGGCAAGAGAGCTCTGGGAAGCTGGGAGAGGTGAGATCAGAAAACAGATCCAAGGGTAAAGCTGAGACAGGGGTTGGGGGGTTGTATAGGGATGAAGCTGCAAGTTCCATGTAGGAGAGTTCCTTGACAGCCAAGAACCATTCAGATTCCTAACACTGGGCAGATGAAACCAGGGACAGTAGAGGCAGCAGAAGTGGCCTGGGGCTCCTTAGGTCTACATCTGATCTTAAACACTTCTTTTCTCCCGCCCCCTTCCCCCTAGAAAAAGACGCTGTTCTTTAAGTGTGGCCCAGGAGTGATGTTCACACCAGGGGAAAAGTCAACTCCAACTGTGCTCCGTTCTGTGGAATATTGGTTAACTGCATTTGGGCTGGAGATACTTAAGTGAAGCAATCTTGTGTTTTTAATATTTAAAGACAGATGCTTGCTTTAAACTGGCCTCCATTTCTTCTTAGAATGTTGTTGGTTTGTACATAGACGTAAATAAGTTTGTCAGAGTTTATTTTTCTACAAATACTATTAAATGTCTCCTCAAATCCAAATTCTGGCAGTCTGGAATTGACACTTGACTCACTTCATACATTACAGGAAGAGCACTATCTAACAGGTGGTGCTTCTCCATCTGGGAGGTATGGAGAACACTCACTCTTCAATGACTCTTATGTCGAGCATGATAGAGGGAACACATGAGCTAACAACAGTCAGCTCTGCAGATCAGATCATGGCTCTTTACTCTGCAAAGAACTCTGCAGGCTGGTATGTGGCACCTGAGGATGTGCAAAAGTTGTCTATAGCTTTATGAACATAAAACAGAAACCAAAGAGAAGTCTGACTTAATAAAACAATAAGCTGGGCATGGTGGAACATGCCTTTAATCCCAGAACCAGGGAAGTGGAGGCAGAGGCAGGTAGATCTTTGTTGGGTCAAGGCCAGCCGGGTCTATATAATGAATCCCGGCCCAGTCTAGCCAGGGATACAAAGTGAGACCCTGTCTCAGAAAAACAAAATCCAACAAATAAATAGTATACATAAGTAATGAATGGAACAATAATAGCCCATGTCTTAGAGCATAAATAAAGGACTGAAGGGCTAATGGTGCAGGACAGTTGAGATAGATGGACAAGGACCCATAGCCACGAGTCCAAAATTTCTGTAAGCAGAAAATGAGACCTGTGCTGATGGGACAAGACCTTTACAGAGTAAGATACAAAAGAGCAACTCCAGGAGGTCACAGCAGGAGCTGAAGAAGTGAGAGCACATGCGTATAAACGTTATACAGAAAAGCTATCTGATATTTATTAAACTTAGTTTCTCCAGCTATGGTTTGGCATTATACAAAGCATCGTAATGACACAGTAGAGTTAAAAAGTTTTACAAATTGAAATGTGATACCCTTGTTTCCAAATATTTTAATTGCCATAAATTTGTTTAAAAATACACATTAAACGCATGTTTGACACTCTAAACTTTCTATAATCTCAATACCACAAAATACATATAATATACTATACAGATGTGGAAAATCTAGTTAGTATATAATACTTTGCTCACCATTAACAGCTTATTATGTGAAATGCACATACTGACTTAGAAATTCTAGCTTTTGAGCCCCAAAGTACCTCTGAAATTTAATGTATTGCAACAAATAAAAATCACAGTATACAATTGAAATTTTGGTTGAAAGTGTCAGATGCCTAGATGTTTTGGATAAAATAAACGTAAGACAAAGATTGGATCATGTACAAGATGAAGGTCTCCTATCAGCCACAGCGCCTTTCTGCAGAGGCAATAGGCCTGTACTTCATCAATCATGTTACCTTCCCTCCAGAACCCTCCCCAAATAGCAAACCATTATTTACCAAATGATTTTAATTTCAAATAAAAAGATCTTCAATAAATATATAAGAATTTCCATCCTCCATATATAAAATTTCTCAAAATCATTCAAAACGGAGGCTAGGTAGAAATTTCCCTAACTGTGCTTACCAACTGGGCATCTGGCCCTGCCAAGCGAGCCAGCGCTGTTGGTGAGCCCCAACAGGACTGTTGACTGCGCATGTCAGTGATGTGCCAGGTGTGTGCATAATGGGGACACCTCGGAGACAACAACAAGCTCCACAATACAGAAGCCGTGGCATTGGTTTGAAAGACAGCACTTCCAAACTGATGTCTTCCAGAGAGGTACAGAACAGGCAGAAACCCCAGTGGCTAAAAGCTGAGAAGAAATCTAACACAGAAGCAGCAAGGTCAAAGCCAAGTGTTACTAGGATTTCTGGGTGGGAGTTTGTCCACACTCATCTAAGAGCTTCTCGGTGTTTAAGGAGGATGAGTTCTGCTCAGCTGAGCAACGGCAGCAAGGAGAGAGGCGCATGCGGACATTCCTAAAATCAACTTCTTCAAAATTAGCCATTTAAGCTGAACCCTCTGACTTAGTTGAGACTTCACCCCAACACCTGTTCTAAATTCCATCCACAAGACAGATGTAGCTTCTGTTTCCATCCCCTGCTCTGGAGACAGCAAGTTCTTTTTCATGAACCCTGGGTTTACTAGAACAGGAGTTCTGCAGACCAGTCAGTCCTCTTACTCCACTCCGCTTTTCCTCACAGGGTCTCTTTAGGTAGTGCACGCTGGGCTCAAACTGATAGTCCAAATGCTAGATTAAAGCACGCACCACCACAAGGGGTTCACCAAATAACTTCCAAATGTATTTATTTATTCTTGGAGAGTGGGTCTCAGTCACTCAGGCTCACTACCCAGCAAAGGCTGACCTTTGCCTCAGGGAATGACCAGCACTCCTGGCCTTCTCTACCCTTAAGGATTGATGTTACTTGCTGGCTTGGTTTCAGGGTCTGAAGGTCGAAGCTGAACACCTCCACTGTTAAGCATGTGAAAGGTACATTCACAAATGTGGCTACTGGGCCTGACCAGTGCATCTTCCCAGTCACTCACTCATTCTTTTTTCTGCTGATTTTACTCACAGCAACAGTAGGTGTGCAACACTACTGGGAAAGAAGTCTGCCTCTCAACTGAGATGTGAAGATGGAAGGGATTTGTATTCCACACCCTAGGGGAATATGAGTTACAGGAGTCTGCAGACTTGAACAAGGTGCTCTGGCTCCCCGAGTCACTTAGGTTTCATCTACCCATCACCACCCCCGGCCAAAAACAGTCAGCCTCAGTGGGTGTTCTTGGGGCCCAGACACCCATAGACTCCTATAAATCAAAATATAGAATGAAGCCATTTCGTTCACTTAGCTATTGGAAAATGAACATCTTCCCACCCTGTAAGAGCCCTATTACACTACAGAAGGGCTCAGATATATTTCAAAAGTTAATTTACTACAAATCATAGTAATAAGCTTTAACAATCTAAAGGAATACACATTGCACCCTTGAATGTTAATATTCAAGGTGCCAAGAACAAAGTGTCTTAGATCAATTTAATAAATAATGTGGAAATAGTTGCACTAAGCTAAAATACTAAACACACACATTTTGACAAACTAATTCCATGTTTTCATACATACATACGTACATATATATAAAGTGTGTATGTGTACATAATTTTAAGATTCAAAGTTGCATACCCTCAGACCTAGAAGAGTGCACAGCATCTCCCTTCTCAACTGAGCTAGGCATCATCTGATGGAGCTACCACTAGCTGCACTACAAACTCCTCTGAGCACTGGCCTCAGGCAGCGCTTGTACTTCTGACAAGAACCTTTGTAGGCCATGGCTACACAATGCAAGCTCATTCATTAAACATCAGTGTACCAAAGTTTCAGTGGTTAAATACAAATGATGCTGCCTAATCTAGCTGATTAAATCTTTAATGAAAAGAAACAAAGAACAATTAAAAACAAAACAAAACAACAACAAAAACAACAACAGCTACTCTAAAGCCACAAGTGTGTCATTCAAAGTGCAGCCCAGATGCCTATAAATCCCTAGTGCAAGAGCTTCCCAGAAAAACAGGCAAGCATGGGCACGTGCACGCATTACTCTGAATTGCTTTTATATTGGAGAATTAAATCAGTAGTGGTCAATCTTCTCCCTTCAGCAGCTATATCTGTGAATACATTTGAAGAATCACTGATATTAAAGTGACTTCATAGCTTCTTGCCCAGAAAAAGGTGTCACTGAGCAAGGAGAGGGCTGGTGCTCTCCAGCCAGAATGGGGCATGGGCTAGGCTGTGTAATCTTGAATGCCCAGAGGGGACTGCTCCCCACAGCCCAGCCTCTCCCAGACAGGACTACTGTGACACTTTTATCACTGCAATCGTGTGGGATGCCTGTCCAGAGTCTAACGGTGCATGCTGCTGCCTCCTGGCATAGGAGTGTGATCTTCAGAGCAGTGAACTGAGTATTAAAGATAGTTGCTATTCCTATTACTAACTATACACTGAATACAAGTTTCAGACTAAGTTTGTAGCCACTTGTCAATCAGTTTTAAATGGCTAAAAACCACTGAGGGCACCTACTGAGAAGGGAGGAATGGTCACTTGTAAAGGAGTCAAGGTATGTGCTGGACATGACTAAGACAAAACGTTTGTGAAGAGACACAAAGAAAGAAGAGAGTGTATTCTCACACACTATGACATCAAAATTCAATCACTTAGGATCGAATTTTGATCCATTGCCCATTTCTAACTGGTGGGGAAAATCCTCCACAACGAAAGGCTTAACAATTTCATTCTCCAAGAACTGACAGTTTTAAAGAGAAAATATCTTAAAGCAGCACCATAAAACATGTGGAAACTCTGCTTTAACATGACACCAGTGTCACTCCAGAATGTGCTGGCCGCCTAGCAGGATACACAGACCAGAGCTGGAAGCAGAGGCCAGCACTGCAGCCGCTGAAGTCTAAAAGCCCAGAGGGCTCTTGTTCCACTTCCAAGACCTCCCTGAAGTTAAGGAGCCAGAGTGAGAGAGAAGGACAGGACAGGACACACAACTGTTAGGCCATGGAAGTCACTAGCACAAGAGAGGAGACAATGGCCTCTGAAGAAAAAGTATTCCTTAAACACACTACAATTAAATTAGCAAGGTATCAGAGGCAATTTCTCCAAGGGAAAAATGTGAAATTCAGCATAAGCTGTAGACATCAACCCTCAACAGTATGTAAGAATAATGAGGTACAAAGCAGTTAAGCTCTGTAAATATGAGACTGCAGGGCAAAGTTCACTATCTTCAGAAATAGGTGGTGAGAGAGACTAGAAGAGAGGATTCACGACACCACTGCATGTGAGGATATGCTATCTCTCTTCCCCTTTCCCATTTCAAGCTGAACAATCATCTCCTAATAATAGGGAATTTTCTCCCCAATTGGATGGGTTTTTGGAATGAGAAGGAAAAACCATTTTCTGAAGCAGCATTATAGCCAATTGATTATACTAAGTCAGGTACCAAAGCACTAGCTTTTCTGAGGGAATCTGTCTTAATGTGACTCTAAAGGAAGATTTAAAATCAAAGAGAATTTAAAATTATTATTGTGGAGGACCAACCATGAACGGCTAATCTGGTCCCAGCGTAAAACTTTATCTGTAAACAATCCATAGAGTTATCATTAAAAGTTAAGATTTAAGGCACACCAGACATGACGGGGTCATTAAAAAGAAGTATAGAGGAAGAGAGACATTCCTCATCCTTCACTGCTATACGCACCTTGTTGGGAACAGTAGTTTGATAAGGAATTGTTACAAAGCTGACTTCCTAAGCACTACCCCTATTATTTTCCCCTTTCCAAGAGAGCTCATACTGAGCCAAGTTAGGTACTTTTCCAGTATGAATTTTCTTTTTCTTTTTTTTAATGTAACAAGGTCTCATGTAGCCCAGGCTAGCCCCAAACTCACTGTCTAGCTTTATATAGCCTGAGGATGAGCCTGAACTTCTGATCCTCCTGTCACCAATACCCAGTGCTGGGATTATAGGCATGCACAACCATGCCCAGCTGCTAGTGTGAGTTTTCAGATCCAGTCAGAAGCATACATCATTGATGAGGATCTTCGGAAAGAGAAATTCATCATCTCCACATTAGACATTGGGACACCTCCTTCCGAGCTCCAGTTACTGCATGGTCATATCTGAGCATCATAATCTCTCCACCATAGGGGAGATCTGCAGACTTCAACCTTCAACCATTATCAACGAAACAGGCTGCAACCTTCAGAAACTGGATCACCGTTTTCTGTTTGTTTTTAGGAGTAACTTACTCTGCTTCAATTAAGTGTCAAATGAGTATAAAACAAAACAAAACAAAACAAAACAAGAATACAAGGTTTTAATAAACCCACAGTTAGATTGTCCTCTGTGAAGCCATTCAGTATGATGTGCTTCCCCAGCAAGTCTATCTGCTTTGCTGTAATGCATCAGATGCACTGTAGTCACCTTGTGATTGCTAGTGTTCCTAACACACATTCACAGTTTTGAAATAATGCATATCAAACCAGACCCACTTCATTTTTGCAGCCATGTAGACTGCCACTCATATTTAAGTGACTTTTCCCATGTGGAAGAGCATCCTTAATACCAAGCATAAGTCCTACAATAGTAAAACTGTAGTACAACTTGAAATAACATCAGGTGATTAGCTGTAGAAAGAACATGTCCTGTCTTGGACAAACCAACTCTTATCTTAGAAGACATTAAGTAACACAACTCCCCAAATATATAAATAAAATGCCTACATTAAATTTATGCTAAATATTCAACAGAATAAATTTATAGGCAGGAATAATTAGGCTTTAAACAAGCTCCAATCTGGGAACTTGAAAAAAATGAAAATAAATAGAATTTTACTTGATTATTTATGAATTGTAACTGGAATTCCAATTACTGAAACCATCTTGCTGATGTACTGCAGGTTTAGAAGCATTTAAATACTTGTCACATTGGGAATATTGAAAGGGTCAATTGATATGATGGCTTTGGGTTATAAGAAACAACAATATAAACCAAAAAGGAGAAAACCATTCCTCATTCTTAGTGTCGACTAGGTGGTGTGTTATGGCAGTTTTCCTTTGTGATGTGACACAGTGTTGTGGAAAAAATCAGAGGCAACGAGAATATGTTCAGTTCAAGATATCAACTTGGCATCCTGCCGAAGCCAATGCAGTCCCTGCCGGGTGTAACGAGCCAGATCTGTCATGATGCTTGCATTAAAGATGAGAGGGCCCATGACTTTGTCCAGTTCAGCAAAGAATTCTAGAAAATTCAAAACAGTCAGTAAGCATCCCACATTCTTTTGAATCACAGATTTTCTGTAAAACAGCATGTCTCTCACACTAAAGGCCTCTATAATTTCTCAAGTTCCTGAAGTCATGCATCAGTTTAAACAGAATGTACAGTTATGAATTCCAAACTCATGTTCCAGTGATGAAAACGGTTAACTGCTATGACATTAAAATGGAGTCCCCCCGGCACACGTGCAGTGCCCCCACTGGGTTACTCAAAGCACTCTGTCTATGTTATGTCTGTGCAAGCAGTAGCAGAAAGAGGAAACAGGCCGGGCGGTGGTGGCGCATGCCTTTAATCCCAGCACTCGGGAAGCAGAGGCAGGCGGATCTCTGTGAGTTCGAGGCCAGCCTGGGCTACCAAGTGAGTTCCAGGAAAGGCGCAGAGAAACCCTGTCTCGAAAAAACCAAAAAAAAAAAAAAGAAAGAGGAAATAGTCTTTGCATGTTTCCCCCACTAGCTCCTGTGCAGCTGACAGTTTTTAACCAACCTTTCTGCTATAATCAGATGGCATGCACCACTAATAAATCCCTTCTTTTTGTTTTTTTGTTTTTTTTGTTTTGTTTTTTTGTGACAGGGTTTCTCTGTGTAGCTTTGGAGCCTGTCCTGGAACTCGATAAATCCCTTCTTTTAAGTCAGAAGTTTAAAAATTTAAAGGATAGAAATAAAAGTATTCTTCCTACATGAACGAAAAAGGCTCATGTCAGGAAGGCACAAATGAGAAGAAAGCACAATATCTTAGGATTTGACTCCATTGCAGTTTTGGAAGCAAACAGGGATGCAGTTCTTGGATACTTCTCAGAGAAGCCAGCTTTTAGACATGCAGAGAAAATAGGGGTTGTTAACACTAACCAAACAAGGCAGGAAGTGATCAGACACCTGAGGTGAGATGTCTCTACAAAAATCCCAACTAAGAAATGCAAAAGGAGTGCAGAGCAGAGTACTGCTGGTGGGTTTTCATTCCCTTCTTCCTCTGAGATAGGGTTTCAGAGAGCGAAGGCTAGCCTGAACTCCTTATGTAATTGATAACCTCAAACTCTTGCTCCTCACTGCTTCTGCTCCTAAGTGATGGAATTACAGGCAGGCACTACCATGCCTGGTGCACAATGAATTTTCTATCTCCTAACAATGGACCTAGACAATGGTCATCATGGATGTCAAAAGTGTAAGTTAAAGTTTAATAGGAAATGTTGTATCATGTTCATCAGAGTGACACTACATAAATAATCTATGGACCTTAAAAATTACAACAAAAAAAATTTCTTTAAAAACAGGATCTTGCCGGGCGGTGGTGGCGCACGCCTTTAATCCCAGCACTCGGGAGGCAGAGCCAGGAGGATCTCTGTGAGTTCGAGGCCAGCCTGGTCTACCAAGTGAGTTCCAGGAAAGGCGCAAAGCTACACAGAGAAACCCTGTCTCGAAAAAAACCAAAAAAAAAAAATAAATAAATAAATAAATAAATAAAAAAAAATAAAAACAGGGTCTTGCCATGTAGTTCAGACTGGCTTCCAATTTGTGATCCTTCTGCCTCAGTCTTCCAAGTTCTGAGACTATAGGCCTACTTCCCATGCCCAGGTCTGATGAATCTTACTTACTTTACTTACTTACTTACTTATTTATTTGGGTTTTTTTTTTGTTGTTTATTTATTTTGAGACAAGGTTTCTCTGTGTAAAAGCTCTGGATGTCCTGGAACTCACTTTGTAGACCAAGTTGGGCTCGAACTCAGAGATCTGCCTGCCTCTGCCTCTCTAGTGCTGGGATTAAAGGCATGTGCACCACTGCCTGGCTCGGGTCTAATGAATCTTAACATCAATAAAGGGTAAATACTTTAAATAACTAGGTGTATCCTAATAAGATGCACCACCTAGAATATATATTACCTAAATACTGAACTAATCTAATCAATAAAAGGGAAATAAAGAGACAGAAGAACAAATGCAGTGACAGTATGAGGAAGTTCCCAGTCAAATGCAGAATGAAACATAGTCTATGATTCATTTCTTCTCAACATCAATGACATGGCCAAATGAGGGGAACAGGTAGAGAGGACTCCTTAAGAGACTAACAAAATGTAGCATTTAGACAGACCTAGCCTGGATCCTATATGATAGAAATCCAACTGCTGTAATTTTTAATGGTTCTCTCTTTTACATTTATCTGTCTGTCTGTCTGTGCATGTATCACAGTGTACTATGTTGAGTCAGAGGAAAACTCTGTGGAGCCAGTTCTCTCCTTCCACCAAGTAGGTCCTAGGGCTTGAACTAGGGGTTGATGGCAAGCACCTTTACCTACTGAACCATCTAGCAGACCCAACTATTGTACTGTTTAAGGTATAGTTGAGACTATGAGGGAAACTTGATAGTGGACAAGGTGCTGCCTACTGAGATACATTCAACTTGCCAGAATAGATGCATATTTGTCTCACTTCAAGAACTACTTGCAGTTTAGCATGTGTCACCAGCACCACAAGAGCTGTTTGTCTGTGTCCCTTCTCACACACTAGTCCATCCATTCCCCATCCTTCATACTAGGGACCAAACCCAGGGCCTTATGCATGCTGGGCAAGAAATCTAACAGGGAGCCATGCACAGTCCAAGGGTATTTTTAATCACATCTAGTCACATTTAGTATGCGGCTAGTCAAAGGATGCTATTAGCAAACTGATTATGATTCCTTCTAAACCATGAAATAAAGTAAATGTTCTCCACATAGTTAACTAAATCACAGAAGTTTCTTTTAACAATCCCTTCCTCAAAGTTTATCCACAGCCCAACAAACCTTTTTGTTCTTTGGAAAGCTGTTCAGCTTGGTCCCAAATTTCAGTGGCATAGAGGAAGTTAGATGTAACCTGGACGTAGCTTGCTGCCATCTGGTGGATCTTCTGTGGAATGGTCACTGAAGAACCACTTGCCGAAGCACTACTGCCCCCAGAAGAATAACTTCCAGAATTGCCTGGTGACAGCTTTGGAGAAACAGGAGAAGGCATCCCAACGGCTTTGCTACACACAAAGAGAGACACAAATAAACGGCTTTATTCACACACATATAGTGAGCACTACAAAATCAGCATACTACAGGCGGGAAGGCCATCCTGGGCCAGCCTGGTCTACAGAGCGAGATCCAGGACAGGCACCAAAACTACACAGAGAAATTCTGTCTCAAAAAACCTAAATAAACAAACAAACAAACAAACAGGCTGAGGACATTGCTCAGTGGGAGTGCACTTGCTTAGCATGCAAAAGTATCTGGGTTTTACCTCAGCCCTGGGGATGGGTAGACAAGGGAAAATAAGATAGAATGTCAACTCATATCAACATAAGAACTCAACAATAGACTCAGAAAATGTAAAAGGTTGCACAGTGCTTGTTCCGTTTTGTGGTGTAGTTGGGAGGGGCTAATGTGGTAACTGAAGACAAATCACAACCATACCACTATACTCTGGCAATGCCAAGATCTTAGTGAAGTTAAAAACCACTGTAACAAGTCTAAATAACTGTGAGAATCAAACTGAGAAGAAGTGAGGTCATGTTAAAAACTCAAGCTATCTGGGGGCTAGTGAGATGACTCAGGGGGAAGAGGGCTTGCCGTGACCACGCCTGACAACCTAAGTACCAGGAACCTACATGGTAGAAGCGGAGAACCAAACCAAACCAAAAACCAACTCAGACATCTGTAGGTGACATGTCTCATTTCAAACATTTTAAGAATTATGTTCATTATATTTTAAGTTACTAGAACTCTAACTCAGTGGGAGAGCATGCAAAAAACCAGGTTCAATTCTAAACATCAAAAATAAAAATTTTAAATACTTTACT